GAAAGAGTAGGGAGATGCAAGAAATACAGGCATGCAGCGAGAGAGATGAAAAACAAAAAAATGAGAGATTTTTTTTTTTACTTTTAGTGTAACAAGTCAATAGTCAATAGCCCAAAAAAACATATAGACTATTAATTGGAATAGTGCATTTAAGGTAGTGAATTTCGATTAATTATTCGACACATTCAATTAATTCAAAATTTGAATCGAATTAATTAAAAATCAAATTTTGTCTAAAATTATTTTTAAAAACTAAATTGATTTAATTTGGTGGCTGATTGATTAGTCAAATTAAATCGGTTTAGTTCGTTAATTTAATTAAAATTGAAATTTGAACACCCCTATTCATAATATATGGTTGAATTCTTGAATCTATGTGTTTCTATTGATCATATTGTTATTTTGGATTGTTCTCCAAATTTGCTACATTACTTCATCGATGTTTGAATTGTATCAAGAAAGGGTCTAACCAAAAAAATATCCTTACCATCCCCTACTATTGGTTAGTTTTGAATATTTAAAATTGATAACCTTAGCAAACACTCATGCACACTTGCATAGAAAACATAAGACTCCAGTAGTCAAGTTGATAATTTCTTTTTGTAGGTTTATTATCGTTAACTGTTGGTCTAGGAGATAATGCACAAAAAACATTTAAAGAATCAATCACTCTTCTTTCGCAGGCTTTTAAATCTGGTTTTGAATTTTTTAAAATAGCTTCAGTATGAAGAAATTGAATAAGGATTAGAATTCATTCTCCCTTTAATATTTGTTGGTATTAAGATTTGTAACCAATTTTTTTTTTTTTTACATAGTCTGGTTTGTCGCTGTAGTTATTAGACAATTTGGCTGTCATTACTTTTGTTGGAGGGAATGATCTAGAGGAAATAAAAAAATCAATGCAAATTATGTGGCAATTAGTTCATCTTAAACTAGGTTCTAATGTAAATATAGATGCCTGATTTTCTCTAATTTAATAGCATCTGATAGCCATATTTTGAGGTTTTGTATAAGTTATTACTTGCAAGTTGTTAATTGAAAAACATGATGTATTAATGCTTAGTTATTTTACTTTATAGTAGGATTAGTTAACTCTTTTTACTTGTAGGTTATTATTGTCAAATCTTTTGTAGCAGTAATAACAACAATTATTTCTGTTAGGTTATTTCTTTTGACAACCATGGGTGGATTGAAACTTATTCTTAAACTTTGGCAAGAGTGAGTGAACTTTCTAAATCATGCTTTTTTTTTTTTTTAATCTGATAATTTATTATCTTTACAATCCCTTCATCCATATATATTTTAACTAAACTAATTGTTAGGATTTAAATCTTAGGAAAGCAAGTTAAAAAACTTTGTGTGGTTTGAATTATGCTCATACAATATAAATAATACCTAACTATAAGTTAAAAACACAAAGCTAGGCAACTTTAATGGGCAAAGAGACTAATTGGTCTTTGGAAATTAATACAGGTACATTACATATTTAATTTTTATGCTATAGGTAGAGATCATATTATTATAGCAACTCTACCTATAAAAATTAAATATTATAAAAAAATTACAATTCTAATACTAAAATAAAAAAACTCATTATCCCACAAATACAACCCAACCCCTTTCAGTTAACTCAAACCACAACCCCTTTACACAAGCCAAAAACTTTGTTAGATCCATATACACAAACTTTTCATTCAACTCAAACCATGGGCTTTGTTACATTAAAATTTCTTAAAAAATTTTTTCTTCAACTATTTTGGTAAACACATTTAGAACAAAACCAAAATCCAAAATTCATTAAAACCCGTAAAATCACCTAGCCTAATGATATCCAACAACTTTTATCCATAAATAGCTAAAACCAAATAACAAACTCCACAGGCCACAAAGCTTATAAATTTTCTTATCAAAATCAATCATCCTTTAAAAAAAAAAAAAAACCCATGGCCGCTCATAACTCATCTCACAAAAAAAAAAAGGCCAAAAATCTCCAGCATAAAGCATTTGACTTATGAAGATACTATTCAAAATTTCTTGGTAAAAATATTTTCAACACATCCCAATTTCTTTCAATCGTAAACAATTAATCCTTTTGTATTCCCTTTTTATATTTCATTTAGGGTTTAAGATTATGTTAACTTATATCTATTACCGTTATTTATATTCACTCACAATCATGAGTTAAAGATTTATACTTATTCATAACAACATTTAGAATTTACACTTATTCATATTGACTATGAATTAGACTTTATTTGCATAAAATTATCTGTATTGGAAATGGAGTTAAAAGCTATGGTTTAAGTTGATTAAGAAACTATAATTTGAGTTAATAAAGTTAGATGTTGTAGTTTCAATTAAAACAATTCAAGTATCAACTGGGCTGAAAATAGAGTTCAAAAAAATATAAAAATAGATACCATAGAAAAAATTAAAAATTATAAAAAAAAATTGCCTTCTTTTCTTTTTATTTTAATTAAAATAAATTTGAGAACAAACTCAAGTTTCTAGATACCTTTCTTAGATCTTTTTTTTTATTTGCACATAAAAAATTTTTCATGTCTATTTTAAGTTTTTTATTCTCATATCAAAACATATATAATAACAAGAACTTCCAAAAGACTTTACTCAACAATACATGTCAATGGTCCTTCAAACACCGATAACTGTACACATAAAGGGTTTTCTGTCAAATCTATTCAAAATTGAATTGACAAAAAATGAACAGGCAATTATACTTCCAAAATGGATGGCACAAATTTGTTAATGCACATCATCTTGCACATCAAAATATTTTAAATTTTACGTACAAAAATGCTAACATTTTTTAAGCATTCCTGCACTTTGAATCATCCATTACCATAATAACAAATGTCTTGTAATAAGAACAAGGTAAAATCTTAATTTCACATACATTATATTTAATTTCAATCCACTTATACTTATTATATTTTGTGACTTACCTTACAATACTCGACCTTACTATGCAAAAGATGAAAGTGATGACTATTGTGATACTTTTGTTTTTCATTGCTTAATGACCAACACAAATGTCAATCCTCATCCCATCTTGTTAAGCAATTATACATATATTATTACCATATAATATAGCAAAACATACATTCAAAATTTCTACTAACTATTTCTTATCACATTGTTTCTACAACATATTCTAAGCTATTTCATAAACATCTACGAAACAATTATTCTTCTATCACTCTATTGCTTCTTGAAAAAAACAAGCCCTGGACTATACATTACAATGCTAGAAACAAATCATTCTCAAGATGATGGAAAAAATTTATCACCGATAATGACATGAAGATTGGCGATTATTGTTTATTTACTATAGTAGGACACAACACTTTTAAAGTAATTATTTATCCTAACTATGAATAAACTTTTTAATAATCATCTGTAGCTATCAAGTACCAAGCATTTGATTACAGTTTTTGTTTAAGAGTTTCTATTAAACATTTCTATTCAACAATTAATATTTTCTACTTAATATTACACTATTTAAAAAAACGTACTTACTCTAACATCTAACTGAATCAAATATTAATTCAATAAAATATAAAAAATCAATGCAACAAACAAGATGAAGCTAGACATCAATTACTAGTTCTTACGAAAAAGAACCCTAAACCCTAAAAAATTTATACTTTGAACGAGTAAAAAATATTTCATGAACGAATTTAAGTCTAAACTTTTTGAATTATGGAATGAATATATATAAGCTCAATAATACGTACTTGTCACTAGACATAATTTATGTATACCTATTTTTCTATTATATCTATATAAATGCTGGCCTTTTTTGGATAACTATGAAAAGAATCTCATCTCTTAAAAAATCTATATAAAACATATCTAAATCATTTAACTTATTCTTGAATCTTTCTACATATATATATATATATATATATTCATAAGTAGCAATTTATTAAGTTTTGCCTTTTATATATATCACAAACTCTATGTCCAAAATTTTGTCCTCAATTTACATATATTTAGGCTTTTTTACTTTAAAAAAAGAAAAAGTCTAACCCTTAAATATCGAGATTGAATATGAGGCATGTTTAACTAATTTCATTTGTGATATTTTAAAATTCTATCATTAACAAAAATTAATAATTTATTATTTATTTAATTTTATAAAGAGATATGTAAAAATTAAAAATTTTTAAAAATATTAATTTAAAAAAGTATGTCTGTATTCCACAAAAATAGATTTGTGTTTAAAACAAGGGTTGTGACACCTAGAGTGACGGTAGCATTTGGGGGTACCAATATCCCTTCCTCCTTTATATATATATCAGGCGAACTAGTGATGGAGGCAATTCTTGTTCCAATATCATAGATGGACACTTAATTTAAAACCAATTGCTAATAGGTACAGTGACATTTATTATATTTATGTGTTTAAATTGTCTCTGATTTAATAAATGCAAGATTTATTTTATCTTTATTTTAATAATTTTATCTTTATAGGTAGGAACAATGGATCTATCATGCGAAACAAACTTTTTGAGTACATAATTTGGTATAAACTTCATTGCAGGTATAAAACATCTATCAAAAGGGTCAATGACAGGGAAGTGTTTGTTCTAGTATAATGTTAAATTTTAAAATAAACATTCAACTTAAAATCAATTGACAATTTATGAAGTAATCTTTTTTATATTTATGTGTACAAATTATTGCAGCATTAGCGAATGGTATTTTATTGCACTATATACACAGCAGGGCAAAAATTTTCAAAGGTGTTAGCTACTTCAAGTAAAATCCTTTTGTCTTGTCAGTATGTTCGGAAATGCACTACTTTGAATTGAAACAACGGACTATGTTTGGTCTTTTTGTTGACAGAATAAAAGTTGCTGAAACTTGGGTAGATTTGTCAAATTTTAGTCTCAAATGAAAGTGAAAATTGCAGAATTTAATTAATGCACAACTATGCTTCAGGATCTTTTATTTCAAAATGTATTAAGAAACAGAATTACAGCAGAATTTGATTTGATTGTTTACAGGAATCTACCAAAATGATTGTTGTGCTTAAAACAATTTGGGTGTAGAGAAGAAAAGCAGTTTTATGTGGGCGAATCACGAGTAGGGATCTGTGTGAGTTTTCTCTAAGCCTAATAAAGAAGAAGACTCCCTCCCCATATCACTCTCTGATGTTGGAGGCAAAACTCCTATGGTCAGGAATGATGAAGAAGAAGAAGAAGAAGAGGGAGCAGCGGTGGAAGCTGCATATGTTGAAAGAACACTGACATTACTGTTCTGAGTTATGCTTGTTCCACTCGTGGAGCCTTCAGCAACCACTTTTGGAGCAGGTGGCCTCTCAATATCAATGACTCCTTCTAGCATCTGCACCACTTTTCCCATCATTGGCCTCTGGGATGGTTGCTCCTGGATGCACCAAAAGCTCACCAGAATTGCCCTCACCACTTGCTTAGTGTCAGCTTCTTCTAGTCTTTTGTCAACAATGCCCTCAAAATTGCCCTTTTCAAACTCCTGATAAGCCCACACAGAGAATTTTTTACCTTCTGTTTCTGCTGAGACCTCAAAATTCCTTTTCCCACTCACTATCTCTAGTAAAACCATCCCATAACTATAAACATCGCATTTTGAAGTTATTGGAAGATTTGCAAGCCACTCTGGTGCCAAATACCCTCTTGTCCCTCTAATACTTGCCAAGGACAAGTACCTCTGATCCTTTGCATTCATAAGCTTTGCAAGGCCAAAATCTGACACTTTAGCAGTGTAAATTTCATCCAAGAGAATGTTTTCCGGCTTTATATCGCAGTGAATTATGCAGTCTCGACATTCCTCATGAAGATAGGTGATTCCCCTAGCTGTTCCAACTGCGATATTAAATCGATTTTGCCAATTCAATGATTTTTCGGACTCGTTATTCGACATGAAAAGGAAATTGTCAAGTGAACCATTTTTCAAGAATTCGTATACCAAAAGCCTGTGACGGCCATCAGAGCAAAATCCCACCAATCTCACCAAATTCAAATGGTGTGTGCTACTAATAGTTGCAACTTCCATCCTGAACTGTTTCTCCCCCTGCTCAATTCCCTCTAGTTGCTTCACAGCAACCACCATTCTATTTGCAAGTGTTCCTCTGTAAACAGCCCCAAAACCTCCTCCTCCCAGCCTCTCTGAAAACCCCTTTGTTGACTGTTGCAGCTCCTTGTATGAGAACTTCATTGGCGCACCAGATGCATAATCAACAAGTGCATATTGAGCTGACATATGCCCAAATTTGTCACTATTTCCGTAAAAACAGCACCAAAAACCAATCATTAATACAACCAAAACCAGAAGGGTGGCCAAAATCACAACCACAACAACCAACGCATGCAACCGCGAATTGTTATCATTCCCGGATGTTTCTTGGTAAGGAGATGGATTTGGAACCGTTTGTCCACAAACTTTCACGAATGAGGTGCTAGGAAGAACCGCACTCTGGTAACCGCTGACAAAATTTGGCGTTTTCATGTAACAAAATCCACTTCCATCAGCTACTAAAGTGGAAGCACTGCAAGAACTACTGACAAGACAATTCATTCTACAAGCTGTAATTCCCACAGTGAATGTCTGAGAGGAAACCTCAGGTGGATAAGTTAAAAATTTAGTATGTCCTAATTCTAACATGGTAGCATTCCGTGGACAATCCCCAATCTCCACTTTCCTCTTGCATCCTTTTCTGCTATCATTTACATCAATAAGCTCAAAATTCTGAGATGGGCATCCACAAATCGGATTCACATCTTTGTAACTGCAAATACCCATGTTGCCACAATATCCAAAAACCTGACACTGATCAGTTACAGCTACCCATGTCGGGGTTATATTCCCATTCTCCCTAGTAACGCTATAAATTCTCAAATTACCATCACTGTTTATCCTTAAAAATCTGAACACATCGTTCCCTTCACCATAGTCAGTACTATAAGCCATAAACATTCCACTAGGAAATGAAGGATCTAAAGCTACCAAAATCCCATTAGACTGCAATCTAAACCTAGGTGCAGTCAAATTCCTATTGATGGAAGAGTTGAATCCTAAACTCCAGTATTCTACACTGTTATTCCAGTTTAAAGTAAGATTACCTGATCCATGAAGAGATAACGAGTAAGAACCTGAGCGCAAAATCTTACCAACGGTAAAATTCTGTGAAGGAATGACAGTATCAGTTGGGTTCTCGAACGAAGACCATATTGGAAAACCATCATTGTTAAGCAGCTGAAAGTTGCCTAAATCATCAAGAGAAGCATGAGAAACTCCTCTGTTAGCAGTAGTAGAGTCCCAAACAATAGTACCGGAGCCATTAGTTAGGCGGAGGGCACCGGTGGGAAGCAAATCTAATGTCCCACCAGAATCAACAACAGCTCCAGTGCCATCACCGGCTGACCATACCGTAACGTTTCCAACGGAATAGGTGATGGCAGCTACAAAAGAAAAGGGAGTAACAGGAATGAAGGAAAGTGAGAAAGTGAAGTTGGGTGACGACCAGGACTGGTTTCTATATGAAGCGTGAAGAGTTGAACCTAGAGGTATGTTGGTAGAAGATGAAGAAATGGTGAAGAGAAAACAGAAGCGAAGGAGGAGAAAAAGAGACAACTTAGACATATTTTTTGTGGGGTTTGGTTTCTTTGCTCTCTTGTCCTTTATGTTACTTCATCATTGCATTTATAACTATGGAAGAGTGAAGCCTAACTGTACTTTGTCTTGCGTTACGACAATCATGCAGCCAGAAAAGAATGAGAAAGTTTAGCCGTTTCTCATGGTGGAAAGTTAAATCTCTGGTTTGGCAGAGTTAACTTTGGCTGGTCACAAATAGAACTTTGGTCTTCATTTTTTATTGGGATTATTTTAGTCTTTCCTTTAATTTGTCAAGTTTATAGCCAATTAATTTGTCTACTTTTCAAATTGAAATTTTATGTAAAGTGACGATGATGGTATTGAATAAAAAGTTCCAACACGACCAACATATTTTTTTTAAATAAAATCTTAATTAAATCCAGTAATTAAGATAGATACTCTCCATCAGTTATTATTTTTCATACGGAAACATTTCATCCACAAGCTAACAAATATATCGACAAGCTTCAACTTTAACCCGAGATGCAATAATAAATTTATGTTTAATCCCAATAAATACAGGTGAATGGGAAACTAATTAAAACTTTTTATGTAAATATTTGCAATATCTGTGCAAAATTTAAAAAGAAAAAGTTAGATGGCCCTAATTTAAGTCCAAAATTACATCCCACTTACCCAAACAAGGCCTATAATAATATATATTAAAGAAGATGCATAAAATTTTTTCCACTTGTGGGAGCCAGTTAGACAAACGTCTATACTTGTTTCATGGGTCAATGAAAATTTCAAAGGTCCAATCGTAAGCGGCTTGCACGTTAATTAAAGAGGCGCTTTTAGTTTTTTTTTTTTTTTTTAAAAAAAAAATTTGTTCAGATTTAAATTTTAATTATTAAAATAAAGTAAAAATTCAACCCATTATCAATAAATAAATAACATGACTATTAACCATCTTACTTATTTACAAGTCTATCAAAATTTGCCTACCAGACAGAATATGAGGACCACAATACGAAAACTATCTTACGAGTTTCAATTTAGAACACCACATACCAAGTTGCCAACAGAAATTGAGGACGTACAACCAACAAATTCAATTTCTACAACCCACTTAACCTACTAATTAAATTAAGCCACTCTTTACCAAATCACAAGCCAGCTAAATCTATAGAAAATAATAATAATAACGGTACACAAGGATTTTATTTCTATCTTATGTCTCATAAAATTTTCATTTTACCCTGATCATAGAGGGCATTTTTGGATATTTCAAATTCATATCTACTATGTTTGGATCTCAAAATTAGCATAAAATTAGTAATAAAAAGCTTGATGTACCGTGTACGACATCCAAGTCTACATTGCTTATTTAGATATTTAAAAAAATATATATGAAAGAGTTACGTTACATCAATATATATTTTTTTATTGAAATCATATCATCTAATCATATTATTAAAAAAATTAATTATTTATTACAAATTATATGTGATAATTAAATGATAAATATTTATTTTAATAAATTAATAAATTATTTTATATTAAATAATTGATTTTTTAAATAATATGATTAAGTGTCTTGATTTGAATTGAAAAAAATATATACTAACATATCTGAACTATTTTGTAAATTTTTTTTTCATATTAAATTCTTTTATAACATAGAAGTGTAAAGAAAAAACGGATTTGACGTACAATTCGTAAACAAACTCAATTTTTACTTGTTTATTAAATTTAATAAATTGATCAAAAATAATATTTTAAAATTTATTAATTGAATGAATGAATCACAAACATAATAAAATTTTCATGTTTCGGCTCGCTTATACCTCTCCCTATTAAGGGGGTAATGAAGTGTACTTCCCAGCTGGCGCAAGGAACATAAAACAGGGTATGCCCTGCTCTATCACGAGGGCTGATGCATACTCTCTTGATTCCAACCTGTCTGACCCAAAATTGTAGTAGGATAAGGAAGCCATGCTGTACCAAAATCTAAACAAATAAACCAACAGACAGATAACAGCAAGGCAATGTGATAAGTTTTTCACATTCAATAGTACTCAGATTTGATACATATGCTCAAACTCTTCAAGCAGAAAAGTTCAGTTGCATCCATAGCAAACTAATACAAAATAGAGAGGCAAAAATAAAGGTTCTAACACTATCCCAAGCGGAGAGACCTCCACACTCTCCTACCTCAAATAAAACAAACTAGCGCTCCATTACAACCTCATCGAAATTCCAGTCTCTCACAAGATCCCTTGTTACAGCTCGACTACGCACCAGCCGTGGGGGACCTGCTATTCCAACGCTGTTCTGAAAATTTGGTTGTGGGGTCACTTTGGATGTTGATGTTACAGTTGTTCTCGCAGCCGGAAGAGATGACTTCCTGGCCAGGCAGTTAGCAATGGCCGAACATCTTCCCTCGTTGTCTGAACTTGAAACAGAGTAACTCCTAAAAGAGTGTGATGGACTTTCCACACTATGGCACACCAGACATGCAAGACTCATCTTTTGGTCTTGGAGACCCTCAATCCGGGGATTGACTTTTTATCCTGCAATATTACAACCAGATACAACAATATAAATGTAAATATACCGTCAATTAATTAGCATATTTTCATCCTATATTGTTGAATTAAAAATCCAAAAAACAGAAAAAGCTACTAACAAATTGATGCTAAGTTTTTTATGAACAAAAAACAAATGCAACTCCTAAATTTAAATAAACAAATTCGGAAAAATGCAGTCACAGAAAGAATAATTTCGAATAGATAGACTAAAGAAGCTACCAGTCCATTGATTAATCATTTAAAGTGCATATATAGCATCTACAACAAGCAAAACTAAATTAATCAATCAAAGAGCAACTTCGAACCTGACTGTCATTCTATGATAGCAATAATCAGGGAGAATAGATAATTGATTTTCGACCCACACATTCTATTAAGATGGTAGTACCACTGGGTGGCAGAATTACCCTCCCTTCGTTTTCCTTTACCATTTTACCTTTAGAAGCTAAAGTCTAAGCATGTTGTAGATGGAATGTGAAAGATAAAAAAAAATATAAAAATAAATAAGCCCAACATTGAGACTCTGAATCTTGATTAAGCAGAAAATAGAGAAAGATAAAACTAGAAAAGTGCCCATATGATTGTAAACCATGAAATTAAGAAAAGTCTAAAAACCATTTTAAGCGAATTGTGCATTCTAAAGTCAAAGCAAGGTAGAAAGGCTCCTTGTGGCTCATTATTTTCTTATACAGCATTAGCGAAAATGACAAGATCTTTCATATAACTTCTTCAGCCATTATTTGAAGTTAACAGACAAGGGAAAGAATGTGACTAGCTAGACCTGAACTGTTAAAAAAAAAGATAAATTTGAAAACCTGGATAGGACCCTAGTATGTTTTTGGAACAAATCTTAGCCTAGGGTACATTAGTTGAATGAAAGCAAAATCCAAAACTCTTATCACCGCATGCCCTGATGACATTCCTGCAATTTTAATCAACAATTTGCCGACAGAAAATGCAAGAGAAGAGTTCCAACTAGAACTTCAGCTTTAGAACACATTATTTATCCAACTCCCAAATGGAAAGCTAAACCAATGAAAATTCTTTATTTTTTAAATTCTAGACAAACCAGAACATTTCTCAGTTCACCAATGGTGATTTGACTACATATTAAGCTAGCGCTTTCCTGAATATAAAGCTAGAATTCTAAAATTAGGCCCCTGTCTGCTATACCATCATCCCTCTCTTTTCACTTTCTCAGCTACAGCTATAGGTAAAATTTAACTTTAACCTTTGATGAACCACATTTCTGAAGACAACAAAATAGCAGAATCAGCAAAAAGATTTACCATTAACAAACTCATAGTGCTTAAGAAGCAGATTCCCAAGGCATCTTTAAATTTCAGAGGACAACCAACAGGAAGAACCCTATCTCCTTATGTTCGTATTTGTGCATATGTGAGTCCGCCTTCATCATTATATCTTCTAGCTTCTGAATTCCACTTTCCCTTCCAGATATTTCTTATGTTGCCCACACATAAATGGGCATGCAAAATGCTAAAAAGTATCTTAAATGTGCATCACTCTTTGCAAATAATAGATAAAAGCATCAAACTCACTAATGCATGCAACAAATGGACATATCTAAAGATGTTCTGGTGAAGGAAGCCCCTCTTCCTTTATGTAAATGACTACAATCAAAGATCTCCCCTTGTCCCATCCAACATCAAAAAGACCAATGAAAACAATGCCAAACAAATAAGCATACTTGCTTAGCAGATCTTTCCACCAAAATTGGCACGTAGTAATTCCCAGCTTTATTGATGATGCATGAGAATTAATTCATGCTATAATAGAGATGTCATATATACAATCAATCTTGTTTTCTTAGTTTCAAGAATGACAATCTTTGAGTTGACTGAAGAACTAGTAAAACCTTGGCACGTAGTAATTCCCAGCTTTATTGATGATGCATGAGAATTAATTCATGCTATAATAAAGATGTCATATATACAATCAATCTTGTTTTCTTAGTTTCAAGAATGACAATCTTTGAGTTGACTGAAGAACTAGGAAAACTTTTTTTCTCGTTCATATGTCCACATATATTATGGATATAAATTATGCTACTAATAATGAAAGGATCTATTGGACTAATTCTTTAAAAGAAATAGAAATGACTCTGATCATGCTAGAATTACAAGCATGCTGGATGTTTGAATGGAGAGGAATATGTTTGTTTGTGCACCATTATTTATTGATTTTCCAACAAACCCTTCATAGTGCATCAGACAACCTATGACCAGACAACCTTGCTAGCCTTGCAGTATTTACACCACACTATCCCTTGTAAGATATGCCTTTTCTTTCGAAAAGTTTATAATCAAATCTCAGGCGAAACTTATACATGAAAAACACATAACTGCAATTTCTGTATGATATACTATTGCACAAATGGAAACAAGATAAAAAATTACCAAGAACAGTCGTTTACATTCATTATTGAAACCAATTATCCATCACTCTATGCTTAATTTACCTCAAGATCCAAGAAAGGACCAATTTATTTCTTTCAAAGAGAAGCTGAAATACCATAGTTGTTCTTCAACATGCAAATCACATATCCAACATTACCACAAACGACCCTAAACCACAAACAAGGACATATCAAAACAATTCAATTCCCTCCCTTTTTCATTTCTACAGTTATGAAAAGAGATAAAAGTAGAAACCCATCTTTAAAAAACTTCCTATTTTTGGATTCCCATCAATTGAAAACCATAATAAAGAACTGAAAAACACAAAGAAGCCAAAACCCAACAATCCAAAATATATATATATACATCAACAAAACCCCCCACATAATAAACCAAATTAAAACAAAATAATAAAGACAATTATTGAAACAAAAGCTGTCATAAAAAAACAGAAGCTGAGATCTGAAGAAAGTAAAATTACCTGCAACTTTTGTTCAGTTTTGGTAAGTTTGGGGCTTAATGGCAGTTGTGCTGTGGGTGAGTGTTTTTTCCTTCGTTGCTTTGTTGATTCCTGGGAGACTTAAAAGAAAAAGATCCGTGCAAGTGGGGTAGATAAACATTTATATAAGTGGGTAAAGGTGAGTGAGTACAAGTGGGAGAGGAGAAGCCGGAGGCCGAGGGGGGCATCAAGATTCTGTTAGAGCGTGGACGAGGAGAGCCTAGGGAACATGACTGTCACTTTCTTATCGTTGAAAAACCAATAATTTTTCTCCATGTATGGGAGAGACCAATATTTTTTATTTGTTTAAATTTTCTGCTTCATTGACTAACATTTCTACAGTTTGGGCACGGTGCTTCTTTACAATTTAGATTTTTCTGAAGATAATGCTTGGTTGGATTTTAATTTTAAGAGATGGTTGAGATTAGAGATGTTCGAATTAAAAAAAAATTTGTTTTATTTATTCAAAGTTTGAATTTTAATTTAACTCATTTGATTATAAATAATAATATGAACTCGTTTAATTTTAAATTGAAATAACACGAATTTAATTTAAATTTTTAATATAATTTTAAAAATTAAATTAAAATTTTAAATAATATTTTTTAAATTAATTTTTTTAAATATATATTAAAAAACATGCATTGTTATCTTAATTTTAATTATAAAATTAAAAAAAAATTCATCTATTAATGCATCAAATAAGTTTTCAATATCTCTAAATTCAGTATTTCTTTAACAGTAACTTTTTAAGCTGAAGTCATTTCTATAGTTTTTTTTTTTTTTCTCTCTCTGGGTGTTTTGTTATATGAACAATTGATAGATACTATTTTTTTGATAGAATTGATACTAAATTATACAAATATGTAGAAATTATTGTTTCATCTACTCTGAAAAATAATAAGCTTATTACAATCTATTTGTTCATGAAGATATCAAATTATGTTTCAAAATCTAGAGTACCTAGCTTCCTTCTGCAACAAGAATGGATACCCAATTCCCCTTCTCCTGGAAGGAAACACCACAAACAAAACACTTACGACAAAGCCAACCACAAGAGGAACAGTGTTGGTGACCTTCCTTGGAATTCCTGGATAATAGCATGCCACAACATCACTATGTGACCCTGCAAAGGTTAAAAATACAACCAAAGAAAGCCATGCATGGAAGAGATCAGACCATCTCAGCTTGTAATCTGATGGCATGCAAGGTTTCTTCCTTCCACCATTGAATGTCCAAATTCCCCTCAAGGTTGCTATGCCATAATACAACCTTCCTGTGGCCGTTCTAAAGCTGTCTGTGAACGTAAAGAACACACAGGAGGCTGCCAGGAAGACAAGGAAGGAACCCATTAGCCAGCGGCTGAGAGAGGTGCATTGGCCATCATTGGTAAGGAGGGGAGCAAAAATGGTGAAGGCAAGGATGGTTGCTGTCGGTAAGAGAACATTGAGCCTGGCAGTTCCACTAAGGATTGCATTGATGATGTAAATGAAATTAGACTCATCTGCATCTTCATCTTCATCTTTGAGATATTGATCATCATCGTTGAGCTGAAAGCTTTCACTGAGATCTTGGGTGATTGAATTCTCCATTTCTCTGTGGAATCAATGAATAATCATGATTTCAAAGAGAAGTAAGGTTATACTACATCTTGGGAAGAATTTGATTCTTTGTTCAAGTTAGCGGGCGAATCAATTCCTTTCCTATGGTTTTATACTTCCATATTCTTCCCCATGGCTCACTTTTGGCATTTGCTTTCAGCTTGACAGATAGGTAGAATTTGCCATTTGTAATACAAAAGAAACCATATCTCCAAGTCTTTGCTGGGAACTTAGCACACAGCTGAGTGAGAGAACAGTATGCATGAAATTGAACCTCATCAATACATACATCAATTATTCACCGCAGCAGCAGTGACTCTCCCCTTCAAACACTGCTTTGATGGATGGAGGATATAATTCATATCCTTGATATAACTAACCTAGTTTTCTAACCAAGTGTACGAGTTAAACTTGCTTCCTTTCTTTAGTAGCATACCTGTTATATAGATTTGAGAATTTTAAACACTAATACAACATGTAAAAAAAACACTAAAACTACATAATTTAAAATTTTAGTAAAAATTATCTATTAGTTTAGCAAAAACTAAAAAAAAATGTATTTTATGTTTGAAATATTCACATGAATTTGACCCAACAAATTTTTATGTTTTACATGCATTTGACACAAACACAACTAATTGAATTGTTTGTCATGTCTACTGTTAAGAAAGATCAGATAGCCCAGGCTACAAGACAAGACTTTCATCATAGCAGCAACTAAAAACTTTGAAAGGCTATTGATAGCAGAAATTCAGAAGAATAACAAACAATAAATACAAAAAAAAAAAAAGCATTTAGAAGACAAATCTATTTCCAATAGCTGAAACTTTTCATTGATTTTAAATTATCAGTCTTACAATAACTGCGGCTCTTTACAATTCCTCACTTGACTGTACAAAATTATGAATGAAACAGTCCCCAGAAATTTGCTAAAAACTGCATGATAAAAGGGTTGGATTTGTACACAGCAATTTTTCAATTGGCTAAGAAAATGAGGGCTAATTCAAGGGAAAAAATTGAGAAACAAGGAATACAAGACCTAGGCAGAAATACCATTTTGGTACGGTTGCTTTAGGGACTTGGATTGAGATAAATCTTCATCTCTAGTGCCACAAAGTTCAAAAGGGTCAGAGGATTCCTGCAAGCACCAATGATCTGGGACACTAAAAAAGTAGGTTGACATGAACTTTCTGAATCTTTTCTTATATTCCTTGGGAGAAATTACAGTTGGCAACACATTCTTAGGAACAACTAATGAAGACTTTACCCATGTCTCAAGTTGTTTGTCCCAAGTATACTGCCTGAGATAATCAATAATCCCACATACAAGCTCCTGCCGCTGGGTATCCACCCCAACAAGTAATGAATAATCCATTACATTGATTGACTGCAAATGAAAAGAGAAGAATGGAACTGTCAGTCAATACCTTATTCCAAATTAGAGAAGTGTGACCTAGAAAGGAAAAAGAAAAAAAATTCTAAAAAGTTAATGTTACAAATGACCCTTGAACTATAGTAGAATATTCAATGTGATATATGAACTTTAAAAGTCTCTAATGTGGTACCTGTACCATAAATCTATTAACTAATATGTTACTCACCCCTAACGTAGTTAGCTCCAAATGATGACATATTGCAAACAAATAGCTCTCCAAGTACCACATTAGTTAACAAATTTATAAGTCAGATATCACATTAGAGATTTTTAAAGTTCTAAGTAACACATTGAACATTTCTATATGGTTCAAAGACTATTCTTAACATTAACCCATTTTCTTTTTTTGGAAAAGGGGGCAGTTGTTGAGGTTAATGGGGAGTGTAGAATATTATTCAAGGGCAAAATTTATTAAAAACAAATGCTGCTATCTACAATAGAATTTATCTATCTAATCAAGGCAAAAGTCCAATTGAAAGAACTAAAAGCTCACATTGAGGAAAGTTGTGTCATTCCATACAGCCCGTTGCAAGAGACGCTTGGCTTTATTACTAACATATAACGGAGAGGAATTCATGTCATTGACAAAGTTCTGATCCAAAAGAACATCTCCAGAACCAGAAGCAGATGAACTGAATCGAGCATGTAAGGCCCCTTTAAGATCATACTGGCGAGTAATATTTCTACCAAAGGTAAGATTCTCCATCACCATAAGATCATGTCTGGACTCTTTCCCAGTTTTTGGCTGTCTTACTATCACCTGCAACATGTTCAAATGTTAAAAAAAAAGAACAAAGAAAAAAGAATAAAGTCAACAGATATAAAAATAAATAAATCTCAAACCTGATAAATTCCAAGTATTTTAGCAAGGCAAGTTTGGCTTCCGGACTCAAATGATTGATTCATGTACTTGAAATAATGTAAAGCAAACTTCTCAAATGAATCATACTCAGCCTTCTTAATTTCTTTTATAATAAACCTATCATCAAGTGTTTTAGCGAAAAAGGACTTGCTCTTCCCTCCTTTGGCATCCCAGTTTCTGCAACGGCTAAGAGAAGAAATATAATCAAGCTCTGAAAGGCAGCACCGCTCCCGAAGATCATGGAACTGGTTAGCATATAAACATACTACCGAGTATTTACCCTTCACAAATGATTTTGAAACACCTAGAGAAACCTCTAGGTTTATAGCATCAGGAGGAACTAGAGAATCCAACAAGTTTAACCCATCAAAACTGGAGAAGCGTGATTCTTCTGATGAAATGCTCAGACTAGAGACAGAGTCTGAATCAGATGAACCACTAGAAGACCAATGCGAGGATATCGTAGGAACTCGAATGAGGCTGCGTAAACTTTCAATTAGTTTATCTCTCCTCCCATCCTCATTGGACATTTCTGTTATAGTGGGCAGATCTTTCAGCAATGCTAATGCACAAGCAATTATACTTGACAATTCACCTTCATAATCTGACACTATGTAATCATTAGTTCCTAGGGGTATGTGTAGCCTTGACCCTTCCTCCCTGATTAATTGATAGCCTGTGGGTATTTTTGCTGGAGTATAACTACTGATAGATTCAAACTTGGGGACGATTCCTCTCAGAAGATCCTTCATATACAGCTCTCTGATTTCACAAAAAGGCATCCAGAACCATCCATTTAAGTTTTCTAAGCTGGATAGTGATGAACGTGGAGATCCACCCCTCCTAGATCCATTTGAATCAACTATAGAATCATTATAGGCAAGATCAGTAGAAATTGGAATTGTTCTATCCACTTGAAAATTATCTAACGGAGGTGCATCCTCTGCTTGACAATTCTCATCACCAAAATGAGGACAAACAGATCTATTAGATGTCATAGTGAAATCTAGGTTGGATGATTTCACAGGGTTCACTGTTGGCTTTTCAATATTATCAACCACAGTGGAATTGCCATGCATGCTGTCACACCCTTCAGATTTTTGAAAAGGAATATTCAAAGAGAATTCATCACCTGAAAATTCATTTCTTTCAATAAAGGAACCTGCCTCAGCTTTCAGATTACCAGTATTATCAGAAACTTTATCACCATTTCCAGATTTAGTTTCTGCCCTACCGTCCTCTCCATCAGCACTACCCATATCGGACTTCAATTGCTCCGGCACTGCATTGTTACTGGCACCAGTGACTACTACTGTAGGATCGAGCGAGAGGAGAGAATGCAGGCGTTGATCCCAAATGCATGATTCCAGCAGAAGATTCCACCTTAGTCGGTTCAAGATAAGGAGTTTGTGAAAACCAAAGTTTGCATTTCCATTCTTTGGGACAGCATTTTGAATATTTGCCTGCAGTTTTTTGCCCGGTGATACACATGAATCAGAGTTTCATATTTATGATGAAAATGTGCAATCAAGTTTCAATTTGAATGTTGATTAGATATCAACATTTTGAATCAGCATTTTGGATGTTGATTAGATATCATGTATATTGAAAATGTACAATCAAGTTTCAATTTGGACAACAATTTATAGTAACAGGGAAACAAACAAAAGCACACGCTTATGATGAATATGACAACATATCTCACAAGGTAATGAAGAGGAAAATACTTGCTTGTGGGTGGTGGATGAATAAAAAGAAAAATCAAGCACCAAACAACATATCAGAAAGAACAAGAGAAAATCAACCTCAAATTCAGAAGCTTCCAGTTTCAACATCTCTTCAACTTCAGAGAATTCTTTTAATGAGCCTTTAAGGTTAAGAGTTGAACCCATAAACTGTGACTTTATCTGCACCAAAAAGCTTGCAACCTCTCTGAACATTAGCATCCCTTTCATGTAAACCTAAAGAAAACATCGATACCAATTCCAATATATTAACATGAGTGAATGCTAGCAGGAATAAGACATACATATGTTTCACCACAGAATAAACATAATATCAGACGTCAAGAGCACAGTGAAAACAGAATATACACGTACATTTTCCAATTCTTCCTTCAGCCAATCTGGTCTAATTAACTCGCTTAACTCTAGATGTTGTGGAGGCATAGACACAGTATAAGAGTTAACTGAAGAGTAACTAAACATTGCAACCATAGGGCCCAACCTGCAATTACATGAACGTAACAAGAAATGTAAGGAAAATTTTCAAAAGGCAATTCTTTGCAGAGTTTCTTTTTTTTTTTTTAAGAAATTAGAAGGAAAAGCAAGCAGAAATTTGTAATTATCACACAGCTACATAGGAAGACTTTGCATTTTTTGCCAAATTTTTCTGCATTCTAAGAAGTCTAAAACTGAAAGGAACATTTTTGCCATTTCACAATTATATTTGAAATTACAGTGAGTTTATTGTTAAATGAAAATAGAAACAGTCCTCCGTACCCAAAGAAATATAGGAAGTCCCTATGCAGAGAATGCCCACAGCTGGATAATCCACTGGATAAAGAGTGTTTAGAAAAGCTGAGCTCCAAGAACTTTCCAAATGAAAGACCCCGTGCAGCAGTTGAAATTAGCACTCTTTTTGAACAATTTGAAATTCCATTCCCAGTTTTGCACTTGCCACAGCGACTCCACATCCAAAGTTTTCCCTCTGCTTCCCCAGGTAAATGCTTAGCAAGCCGTTTCACTTGTATCGTTAGCTGCTTATTATGATGTGCATAATAGTAAAAGTGGGCTTCTGGCAGTTCACCACAGATATCACACTGGCTTCTCTGCATAAAGAAGAGTTTCTATCAGTGGAAAATTCAAAAGCAACATACATTTGAGAAAAAGTTAGGTTTTCAAATGCAGTCTACCACATGATAAAATTAAAGGTTAACTAAGTTGATAATAGAGGTAAACTATATCACCAAAGAAGTCACCAAAACACAATTTAGTAACATGACAAGATAAAGATCATATCTCCAACAGTTTAGAGCAGTGAGCAACCTAATAAAACTCTACTCATCAGGAATCACATACTAGAGAAAACTGCACAAGTGAAAAAAGAACCCTAATAAAAGGAAATCCCAGAGACCTGATTGAGTAAATTATCTCGAAGGAAATTTCCAAGAGGAACATCAAAATTCCTGTAGAACATGATATGGCTAAAATGGCTTTGCTCACATATAGTCCCCCTTAAGGAATTTTGGCTAGACATAAGAACCAAAATACTTTGTGAATCCAACATTGTGTTAACATACTCCGTATTTTGTGTTTTTTCTTCATTATGATCATCATTAGCTTTCAAGTTAAGTGAGGATTCAGAGGAAGCAGGAAAAGATTGAGGATGTCCATCATAAAGAGATTTCTCTTCATCACGACCACTTTTCAATTCTGCATCAAACTGCCCTGAGACCTCGGAAGTTTTCATTGGAGGAACTTCTTCTGTAAGCTTGGATTCCCTCCCATTTAACCCAAAATATGCAGACAATGACCGATAAGGAGCAGTGGATGCAAGAGGAAAACTATTTTCTACAACTTTCTTCAGAGAGGCAGAAATAGATGACAACCCAGAGAAAATGGCTGGATTATATGGCTCCAAAGATAACGCTGAACTGCAGTCTAATCCTGACTTCACAATTAGATCACCATCTATTTCCCCATTTATGTGGCAACCTTCTTCATGGAACCCATTGTAAATGGGAATGTCAATTGCATTTGATCCAGTTTCTGCATTTGATCCAGTTTCAGCAGTAGACTTTTCAAGACAAGGAACACTAAAGTTACTTGTTTCTAAGGCATGGGATTCCCGATCTATTGGCAACACATCTGCTACGCCAGTGAAAGGAATTGTTGAAAACATTGCTTTCTGATCAATAAGGAAAGAAGTTTCAAGGATTAAATGATATGCCAAGACAACAGCATAGTGCACAACACACTTAATCTTTTTTAGTTCTTCAGAATGACTTCCTTTCAGCAAAATCTGCAACATCGTGATATCAAGTTAATGAGGAAGTACATACACAGGAATATTACATAAATATCTGACTAGAAAAGAAATAAGGGAGGAGGAAGCTTGTCATCTGGCAGATAGCATCAGGTCAAACGTCTTAGGTCCAAATATTTAACACAAATTGCTTTTGAGAAACAAGTGGAATAAAAATGGATGATGCAAAGGAAACTCAAGCAGAAGACACCCAAGCCTCTAAAGTTTAACCAACCCCAAAGAAGGAAAGACAACCCCAGAACAACATTCTGCGTAAACAACTACAAATTGGTAAAGTGTAAATTAACTAATGGCTTAAAAGAAGAAGAGTGGCATTTTGCTTAATAATAAATGTAATTAGTTAATTTAATATGCATTATGCTTGAAAATTTTAATAGCTTGGGTTAAAGAGGTTTGACATTCAATATCTTATCCAACTTCATTAATCTCAGAGCAACTGGAAAATAAAAAAAGGCAGAAGAATGTTTTGATGCCTTCTTATCCAGAAGTTCTACACCAGGAATATGGGGTAGGCTGTCAAAGAATGAATTTTTTATTAAAACTGCTTGTCAATATTTTTCCGTAAGTAAAATACTCAGCCCATATTACCAGTGCCCACATTCAACATCTAACTGTCTTGCTTCCTATGCACAAACAAATGTGTGTTTGCATGTATGCAAGAACATGCCAGTGCATCCTGATTAATGGGGAAAAAATAAAAATAAAAATAAAAAGAAAGAAGAAGTCATCAACTTACAGTGCAATCAAGTCGTTTAGAACAGCCCTCAAGGAACATCAATGTTTTACTTGGCCGTTTTCCCCCTTCACCAAAACAAGCATGTTCCTCAACAAACTTTTCTATATGAAAGGAGTCACACTGCTTAAAGGAGTCATTCTGCTTTAGCTTTTGATTCATCAAAGCATCAGATGGTATGATTGGTAAGCCAGTAGAACGAGCAACTCTCTCTAGACGATGCAGCTTCATGTCAAACACCAATGTGATTCCTTTGGCAAGGATACACTCTTGAACATCACGTGAAACAGTTTTCTCCACCAAAATCACATTTGGGTGGCAAATATCTATCATCTCACTAAGAGATTTCAGATGACCTTTTTCCTGTTTTATGGGTCAACAATCAGAAACATACAGTATACTTCCACATTACAAAAACAGAGTTCGGTTTTGCCAATTTACCTCATCTAGTGAACTGAATGAAGACAACCCACTAGAGAACTGGCCAAGGACTCCCTGAATTAATAACAGCCTTGGATTCTTGTACATAGTTTGCATGTGCTTATGAGCAGCATGCTTCTTAAAGACCAAGCCTTTGATTAATTGGCTGCAAAACAAATGTTAATTTATACATTGAAAAGACAGAAATCCTATAACAGCAATAGCATTAATTTGCTGACTTATAAAATGTTGCTTGACTATTCAAATAAAACATGCTAAATGTTGATTTTCATATGTTATCCAATATGTTCATTCAAATAAAGGAAATTAAAATTTAAAAAAGAGACGACTTTTCACATGATACAAATTAAATTTTCATATGATTCAAATTAAGGAAAAGGGGAAAGTAACCAGTATTCTCTTCCTCAAATGAATTTTATGGAGGTATCAGATGTTTATAGCATGCAAGTATCTAAAGATGATCATTCAGAAAAGCACATGAACACCACCTTCAATCTTAAAAAGAAACAGAAAAGGTGAAATTAAAACCTATTAGTCTCTTCAATGTACAATCTAAATTACTTGTTGAAGAAATATCCATAAGTAGGAGCAATATAATTTTAAAAAACAGTATATTGAAATCATATCATCACCTTTGACTGCGAGAACCAGTTGCGATGCATTTCACTTTCACATATCCATCTGGACCCATTGTTTTGCCATCAATAGCATCAGGCTTCAGAAACAGAGCGGCATCCCAAGATAAAGAAGTAACTATATCCACCCAACTATCACCGTCATTCACAGAACTGGCAACACCCACAGACCTAAGAAGTTGACTTACAATAGCTTTGAACTTCCCATTTATCACCTCTTCCATTGCCCTTTGTTTTTCCTCTTCAAACCTGTAGATTCCATTGCCCTCATCTTTAATATGACTCAAGGAACTTGGCTTTCCCCATTTTGTACCATCTCCACATTCATCATCATCATCATCGTCATCATCATAAGCCACAGTACCCTCCAAATCGTATTCTTGATCTTCAGGTTCAGGAGGTTCCCAAATTTGCGTATACATTTCACCATTAATAAACGGACAGGATCCACTTTCTTTGTCAAAGGTTCTAGGAGAATTTTCAACAACATTTTCTTTTTCTTCTCGATCATTACTAGCTTCTGTTATCTCAACATCTCTCACTAAGTCCACATCTTTGCTATTTTTCTTGTCCCTCAAGTTGCTATCTGTCATCATATTTGAGCTATCAACTCTCTTCCTAGGGCCCTCTAAGCTCAGGTGCTGCAATCGGCCATTTGGCAGACAATTGAGCTCCCTATAACTCTTTTTTAAGCCAACCTCTTGGTCACCCTCACCCCTGAAAAATATAAAATATAAATAAATGCATATGTATAATTCGCACTCACACATATATAATCACAAGACTCCAGTTAATAACAAATACTATATAACAGTGCCACAATTGAAAAGAAGGGCACCTACCTATCATATGAGTTTATATCAACTGAAAAATCACCTGATGGAACAGAATACAAAATGTAAAACATTTAGCTTAAAATGAAAAGGAAACAAAGTAACTAATAAAAAAGAGATGGATGCTTACTGCAACTAGAATATGAGCGATCACTGCCAGACAATGAAGTGGTTGGACTGATCATTGGTGTTGCATATGGACTAATAAAATCCTGTTTCACAAATTCTCTTCCTTGCCTCTCCAAACATAATTTACAAGACCAAATGGAGTCTCCAGTACTTGACGTTAAAGCATTACCATTCTCCGTATTCCTCTTGTCCTCGTTGGACTTCGTAAGTTCGGCACCACAACAATGACACATGCTGCACATCTGACTCAATAATAATTCCAGAAAACTCGATCACCTATTTCAATAAGAAGGGGAGAAAAAGTAAGTTTGATAAGCAAAATAATATAAACTATTCTAAAATACTCCAGTAAACTCCATTTAGACATTAAGATCCCATATTGAGCAAACCCAACACTTTTGTAAGGCACTCACAAGATTCAAATTTACTTCCAAATGTCAAAACTATTTCTCAAGGGAAATTTTCTTAATAAAGTTCATTTGCTAGAAACACAAGATGGTAAGCATAAACGAAAACGAAAAGTACATTCTATACAAACTAAACTAACCAATTTCTTTTGGTGTTTTACAAATCAGTTTTTCTTTAAAGACTACCTTCCCAGCAAAGAATAGATGCAAAGAAAGATCGTTTCAATCCAGTATCTGATACATGTATGGAGCAGTTTATGAAAAACGGCAGCATAGAGTATCACAAAATTCACCAGCAGATAAACATGTATACCAAATATTCCCAGTTTCTATATATGAATTTGTATCAATCACAAACAACACGCCTTAGAACTATAGTGCAAGTATAGCTAGCAATACATAAACTAAAAACTTCAGTGATTTCTCTGTCCGTGTTCACAAATAAATCTGCAATTCTAGATACAGTTCAAAAATATCCCAAATGAATCGGGAATTTTCAAGTGTATTGCTTCTATTTGGTAGTATTTATGCTAAGACGATATGGAATACATAATTATAGATATTAAAACGAACACAAGGAATAGGGACAAATTCCTAGAAATTCCAGAGAAAAACAAGTGAATAAAAGATCAAAGAATTGCAACGATCATACTCTAAACCCATGCTTACAATCAGATTAAAAAAACTCCCTGTGTTAAGTCCCAAAAAAAAAAAAAAAAAATCAGATTCCAAAGCCTGAAAACGATTGGTGTCCCTAAAACAATCAAATCCATTGAAACAAAATAGACTAAACAGAGAACACAGTATCAGATGAAACATTATTCATTTAAAACATTGATGATGTACAGCAATTCAAAAGGAGGGTCAAAAAAATAATATTAACATGCATATACAAGGAATTCCAAGTAAACAAAACGATATAACAAGTCAAAAGGACAACCCAAAAAAAAAAAAAGATAAATCTCCAGCAACATAAAAGAAGAGAAAACAAGAAGAAAAGGGCGTTACCAACATCCAATGCTGAAATGAAATCCCTAAGAAAAAAAAAAAGAACTTGACCAACTGACCAAACAAAAGAACTTGAATGCACCCGGATGAGAGATAGAAAAGGGAGAAAATTTTACTTTATAAAGTCAGTTGATCTAAAAAATGGATAAAATCCCCAAAGCATCAAACTTTGAATTTCCAAAATGCAACTGTCTTTTAAATTTTTCCATAAAAAACAAAATTGCCATATTCCAGCACTGAGTTTAACAATTTAAAAAGGAAAAAAAAAACACAAGTCAAACTCAAAAAACTCAATGAACCCAAAATTAGCGAAACAAAAATGGAATCAAAGAAGCAAAAATATTATTACTTACTGTTAAAGCAATCCAAAGAACAAAGATTCGGGTGTTATGACCTCTAATCCAATCCCAAGCATAACGGAAACTTGTTTATTGGGTTTTTTTTTATTTTCTTTTCCTTTCTTTTCTCATCCCCAGAAAGCAAAGATTTATATTCTCCCTTGAAAAAACAAAGAATACAATAGCAATGAGTTTACAAAGTGTAGAGTGTAGACAGCGAGAGAGAGTAGAAAAAGAAGAATGAAAGAAAATAATGAACAGAAGAATGAAGAATGATAACTATAAAAAAGAAAAGAAATTTAAATAACAGTTTCCAGAGTGGGATCCACTATGTGGTTTTCTTCACTGTTCAAAACTTCTTTTTTTTTTTGGAATAATTTTAAATTAATAAATGAAAATGGTTTGATTCCGGTTGACATATTCATTTATTATATTCAATAGTTTAAATAAAATATTTTGCAATCATGTCCCTGGTAAATTTTTTTTTTTTACTTTACATTTTAGGGTGGAAAAAGAAAAGCAAAGGACGAAATTGCATGCATGAACTAGTGTTTAAGCATATAGAAGAGATGCATGATTGTTGATGAACTACGCCAAAGTTAGAAACCATGGCTACATAAGTTTAATTAATTAATCCGAATCCTCTGTATTAATTGCTTATAATTAATTAAGAGAGACTAAATCAATGATTAAGGTAAGTTTAATTAATTAATCCGAATCCTCTATATTAATTGCTTATAATTAATTAAGAAAGACCAAATCAATGATTAATTAATTTTAGTTCACTCTTAAAAGATTTGCTAAACTCAAAAAGTGCTTAAAAGAGTTTAGTTTTGAGCTAAAGAATTATGAGTCAAAGTAGATCCCAATAATTTATATATTTGTATTATATAAAATACTAATAATTTATATATTTATGTTATATTTTACATAAAAATTATATATCATAATTTTTATCGACACAAAAATTAAAATATATATTTTTTATTTTATTAAATTTATATATAATTTTTATTAAAATTTTAAACAGCATCATCATCTATTTTTTCATACTTTTTTTGTATTGTGTCACATGTTGTAATCTTCATTATCATACTTGATTGATGAATTAACCTAATTTTTCTTATATATTTAAGTTTCTAATTTACCCCATATTTTATAATTATACTCTTTCTTTAGTTAAAAAAAAAATCCAAAAAGAAGAATGTTACACTCTATTGGATACAGCTCATATACAAGTGTCAACTAGGAAAAAGATTTGGATCTCTTAAATACATGTAGTATTGATCTTCCGTTTGAACATGGAAATCAGTATAAATAGAAGTACGGAATTTAATTTAATTAATTTATATAATTATTTTTAAAAATTAAAATTTTTAATTTCAATACTTATAATTTTTTTATTATTAAATTATTGTCTTCTTTATAATAATAATAATATAAGTAGATATGGAATAAATTTGGAAGATTTTGCATTTATGGCCTGCAAAATGAGATTTTTTTTTCATTTGAGCCTTAATTAGGTTATGGGTATTATTACTATGCTCAATTATCACTTGATAAAATTAGTAACATTTTATTTTAAAAATAATATTTCATATACTGCATTATTCTTATATTTTTTTAAAATACATTAATTACAAAAAAAATTCTATAAATATCACGTTAACTCATGCTTATAAGGCGCTCTTTAACATTTCTCTTTTACTCTTAAAGGTTATAGGTATTTTAACTCTACATTTGTAAAATGAAATATCCAAATTCTTTACTAGCTATTAAATAATATTTTTATTAATATAATATATAAATATAAATTAAATAAATAATAAAATATATTTTTTATATATTCCGAAGAGAATAGAGACAAAACACTCTAAACCCAATCTTGATTTAATCCAAATAATTTAAAAAGGTAAAACTTAACCAAATTCTTATTTTTTTATTAAAAAATCACATTGATTAGATTGTAACAAGTTTAAACCTATTGGATATAAATTGTTTTATTATCTCTACATCCATTTACTTTTCTTTACAAAATTATCTAATAAATAAAATTTTTAAAAAATCAAATGGGATTACATGTGAATTTATTAAATTAAAGTATTAAATAATATTTTTAAATAAAATACATATATAACTATAGAATTAAATAAATAATAAAATATATTTTTTGCATATGTAAAAAATAAATATAACACTCAAAACCTTACTCTAAACCGAGCTTAATTTAAAAAAACTTAACTTAATTATCCCAAATTAAAAGAAAATATAACAATTGAATTAGGATGAATTGCAACCCATCGGTTATGGGTTATGAATTATTTTGTTATTTCTATCTTAATTGATTTTTTTATTACAAATTTTATTTAATAAAAAAAGCAAAAGTAAAAAAAAAACCCAAAAAAAAAAACAAAAGCTTTAAAAAAACAAAGAAAAGGAAAAAAAAGAAAAAGAGGAAGGTGCCATATAAACACTTGAGATGAAATAAAACACTTTAAATTCATCTCCAATTAGACCTCATTTAAAAAAAGAAAATTCGATCGATCTCGATTTTAAAATGAAAACACATATTTTAGATCAATGTAAATAAAAACCAATCAAATATAAATTGATTTAGTATCTTAACTCAATTGACCTTTTTTATAAAATTTATCTAATAAAAAATAAATATAAATATAAATTAATAATAAATTAAATTAAATTAAAAAACCAACAAAAATAGAGAAGGAAGGAACGAACACCCCCACCCTCTTCCATTCTTTACAATTTTAATATTATGAATATATTATACATGAAAGATATACATGTTTCACTAAGAGTTCATATGGTTATGAAAATAGGCACATATTTCTTCAGCTAAAATTGACAATTTTGAATATCTTCTTTCAAAAATCAAAATCATAGTTTTAATAAAAGAAAAACAAACATATGGACTTTTTCTTTGCCTATTAGTAATTGGGTTGGATTTTTAAGGTGTTAGATAGCCTTGACCCTTAACGATAATTTTTAGTGTATATAAAATTGTATTTCAAATTGAGGTGATTCCATAGCTTGAGAGAGAGTGTTTATAAATATTTTTAAAGATTAAAAAAGAAAAAATATATTAAGGAAATTTTTTTGAACACCCTCAAAATTATTTTCTAAATATTTTTCCTATCAACAAAATTAATAAATTCATCGGCAATTCTTTAGTGAATCACTAGAAAAAAATTTTCAATCCACCACTAAATTTTAAGTTCTTAAAACAATTATTAACAAACTAAAATAAGCAAACTAAGCACATGTATCAAAAGTTATTGCCAGTGTTTAACATGTAAAAATTTTAGAAATATAGAAAAACCTTAAATTATGTTAAACCTAGTATTTTTCCATTTCTATTTAGATATATTGGTAATAAAAACCAGGTTGATGGAAAAAAAATGAAAAGAAAAAATGGATGAAAGTCTAAAACTTTATGTGGCCTAAGTGAAAATACATACAAAGACATGGGCAACTATGCAAATGTTTGAAAAAAGTTGTTCAAATATCCCTATACCATAAGGAGGTTTTGTGATTTTATTTTATTCTTTTAATATTTAATCTGTCTTTAATTTTTAACTTTTATCTACTTAATTTATGATATTATGTATTTAATTCCTTTTGAAACCGTAATTTTTAAAAGTACGACAAAACATGTATTACGTAGATTTGGTAACTTGTATAATCATATTGTATAAAAAATTCATAATAATTTATATAATAATTTATATATTATTTATATTAACACAATAAATATAAAATTTATTTTTATTTTTATTAAATTTATATATAATTTATATTAAAATTTTAAAATATATTATATCTATATTTTTTTATATCATATCATTATATTATATTTTAAATTATCAAATCTATAAACATATTATCTTAATTAATATTCAAATATTGTCTTGTTTTTCATCGTGAAATTGTAAGGGCATTAACCAGGTTTTAATTTCATAGATATTCCCTTCGATTACTTTTGATTATGACGGCCCAAAATCCTTGAAACAGTGAAACCAATAATCAACTATGGCCGAGCACAACTCATCACCAGTAAAGACAGCCACCTGGCAGGCCTGTAGTTAATTCTAGGAGCATCTGATTTGTTTGGATTCATCTGAACGATTGACTGTTGTGTCAACCTCAGCCACGTGGAAGAATTAGGACCTTTAATTACTAGACTACCCTCGTTCCGTGGAGAGAAAGGAAACCCTTATTGAGATCATGTGGCGGGCGGTGATTGGGTGGAGAGTAGACAACTCTTAGAACGGGTCCGCGTGTTAGGGAAAGCAATAATAGCCTACTGATTAGAAAAAGTTTATATATTTTTTTAAAAAAATTTGATTATATCAATAGTTTTTTTTGCCAAAAAAATTATATCTTAATTAAATAAATATAATTTAACTCCTCAACTTTTTATAAAATAAATTCCAAAGTAAACAAATTACTCTAATCTGAAATTAAAAATAAAAAATTGAATCATGAATATTACCGCATCTCAAGAGCTTCACTGATCTTTCATAACAATATTCTTAGAACATTTAAATATTTACATTGCTAATTGATTAGACAATTATCTAAGAAATATTATTTTTAAAAAATATATATTAAAAGTTACAATGTGATTTTTCCAATAACATGGACCCTCTTCAATTTTTAAAATTTAAAAGCTTATAATATGAGATTATTATTATTATTATTATTATTATTATTATTATTATTATAGATCCACATATCCACTTCACAAGTGTAATTTTTTTATATTAAAATTAAAAATATGATTCATTTAAATTAAAATAATATTTTAAATTTAATAATTTTAATTAAAAATTATAAAAATTATATTAGTGTAATTGAATTCTTTCTTTTATTATTGGATTGATTGATATTTTAAAATATGGGTCCGGATTGGATTTGTTAAAATTTGATATACAAATTAGAGTACACATGATTGAGGTTAGGCCATGTAATGTTTAAGCAGCTAGTCACATCAAGACATCTACAATTCTGCCCCAATCATGGGAAGCTGCTGATTTTCTCAATTTCTTTTCTTTTCGTTTATGGCCGCATATGATATATAATTATTAAATAATTAAAAATTAAATTCATAAATCAATTATTCGTAAATGAGATATTAAAATATAAGTTCATGAATCAATTATTTGCGAATGAGATGTTAAAATAAAACAAGTTAATACTACTCCATATGTTAAATTTGATAAAAGTGCTGAAAAAAATTGAAATGAATAACATTTTCTTTTTTCACTATAAATTTTATTTCACAATTTAGATTAATTTTCATGCTGATTAAAATTTTTCCATAAGGACCAAATTTGAAC